CTTATATGTAGAGATAAATTTTTGAATCAAACATTATCACGTGACTGCCGATTTTTTATGGCACTACTAACCTACTATATAAACACATCGCAGTAGGCGATGCATATATTTATCCTTTAAAAAAATCAGGATTTGCCCATCACTAGCTATAGGTAATAGTGATAGAATTTTAATACTGATAGCTGTTATCGAAAAGGTAGAAGTTGAAATGAATAAACATACGGCATTCAGTAACTAATAAAGTTTTTTGAGCCAGGTGATGTTAATAGAATATACACTGTTGGATATTATTATCAAAGCGATTACATTCAATAATTGAGATTGGTAGTTATGCTAGATTTACTATCACACACCTGCTTCCAAATCACAAACCGGGTAATTTCAACAGGAGGAAACGTTGTATTTACATATATAGTTTAACCGGTGAGGGATTATATCTGTAATATACATTATAACTTTGAACTCAATATAAATAATTTTATAAATAATTGATCACATTATGTGCGGAATTAGATGTGTAATGTTAACATTTCCTCCTATTGGTAATTTTTAATAACACGAATGACTTTGTTGACATGGTTATCACATGATATGTACCACTACTACTGAACAGCATTTTATGTATCATTATCTAGCATAGATTAGTATCGTTGTTGTGCCTGAAGTTGGCATCTGTCTGAAGTCAGAACTTGCTAGCTAATGCATGCAGGATAATCTAATTTCAGGAGTTAATTTCAGTCAGGTGCAATTTTAGATACCTGAAGTTTCAGCTTCAGTCAAGTGCTAACTTCAGACATGACAATATCACTATAAAAAAGGATTTTTTTGCTATATATATCGAAATAAATATTTTACAAATCAAACTAGGATTTTTTTGTATTCCTGATAGCAATGTACTGCATATCACGTGACAGGCTTGAGCTGGCTCAAGCCGGCTCTGTTAGCTTGGCTAAAAAGCCATGGCTAAGCTGGCTCACTTTAAGCCGATCCCATCCCTAGAATGGCCAATTATAACTTGTTATTCAATTTCATGTGATCAACCAATAACAATTATTCTAAAATTGTTTAAAAAAAAATAAAAATAAAATAAAATTGAAAATAAAAAAATAATTTAAAAAATAAATAAAATAAGGAAGAGATTGGGGGAACAGAATTACTATATTATTTAATGTAATTTCAGGGGTGCTTTTATCTGATATTTAATAGTTATGTAGTAAAAATTTTAATTTATTTTGATTCGAAACAAGTCTAAGATCCCCATCGTTATTTAGCTATACCAATAATCAGTTCCTGTGTACTACTAGGTGCAGGATCAGGAAAGCGGGAATAAAAGAAAGATTTGTTTATAGGCAAAAAAAAAAATTTGTAAATTTAGAAAGTTTTGAAGATTTTAGTGTGAAAAGCGCGATTTATTTGAAAAAAAAAAAACTTCTTTTCATTTTTAGAATTTTTATATTTACATTAAAATTTACATTCTCAGATTCGCGTGTGTGTGACACATGAAATGTATTCGCTAGAGCGTTTAACAAGTATCTTTGTACAAAAATCACATAACACGATTAGTGCATATAATACAATTATGCGACCTGGGTCTTTAGAGATCATCCTGACTCATTTGCATAAAATGCACTTATTGTGTTTTGTACCAATTATATATATATGGGGTGAGTCAATAGAAATCAAGCAAATTTTTTATAATAAAAATTTTTTATGACTTTAAACAAGAATAACTTAACAAATTTAATAAAAATTTTTTTAAATAATTTTTACAAATTTGTAGAATTAATTTAAAATTTTTTTACTAAATTTGATTAAGTTTTTGTTAAGTTATCCTTGTTTAAAGTTTTAAAAAAAACTTATGAAAAAATATTTGCTTGACTCAACCCCATATGGTTTCATTACGTATACGGTTTTTCTTCAAAGTTTTGTAAGTTGTGTATATAATTTTAATTCATATTACCGTATCAAGAGTTTTTATATCGAAGGTTTCTTATATCTAATATCGAGAGCTACTTGTGTAGGCATATATAGTATTGTTATGTCTCAAAATTTTAATTACAAAATATTTTTAAAGGTTTAGCAAAAAAAAATTTTTACAAAATTTTACACCCGGTGGGTATAATACCCGGTATAAGAAAAAAAAATCAAAAATCCTTAATACAGTATCTCTAAATTTTACTAAGGTAACCATATGTAGGTATCTTAAATAAAATTGTTTAGCGCCTAATTTTGCATATAACCACACACATTTTTAAATCTAACTCTAACCTTAATATATATATAGGGCTCTATATAAATATTATACCGGGTATTATACCCTATGGGTAAAGATAGTAAATTTCTAAATAGAATTAAATTTTGTTTACAAAAATCAATTTATTATGCTAGAAAATAAAATTGTAGTTGATATAGTTCAAAGAAATATAAAATCATAAATTGTAAAATGAATAAATCATAAACTCTCGGTATTATGTAATTTTGATTTATATCTAATAATGTCATGGCAAAGCTGTTTCGTGATTCTATGATAAAGCTTGAAGACAAGTTTATTATAAAATTATGATAAAAGCGAAATTTTGTCATGTTTAAATGCATAATGACGAAAGTTGATAAAAATGATACGTGAATTTAAATTTTGTAAGCCATTTATTAACCAAATTCTTAAATATTTTTACGAACAATAAAATTTTTAATTTCTTAATTTTTTTGATATTTTTTGCACCACAAATCCACTTTGCTTAAAAAAAATGGGAAGGAGATCAAAAAAAATACGAAAACGGTTTGTGAAACATAAACGCCAAAAACTTGATAATATTTTTGATTGTATTCTTTGTTATGAAGAGAAATGCGTTGAAGTCAAAATGTAAATGTATAATTTTATACAAAAGTTGATGTGTTAGATGTTACTTACAATAAATTAATTCAGATTTTATTTTATTTAGGCAGATAATTGAAGGTAGGGGTGCTGGATATTTAAGATGCAACCACTGCGAAGCAAGATTTGAATCAGATATCTATGGTGACTATTTTCTTTAAACCTAACTTGAAGTTTTTTTTTTCAATTCTTTGATAACGATAAATCATTTTTAATTATTAGATTTTAGCGATAAAATAGATGTCTATTTTGATTGGGTAGATAATCTTGACGTTACTGACAGACATCACTATTCAGATGCAGATGACGACGATGATTTAAGCATCCAGCAAAAATCAAAGTCGGTAAATTCAAAAGGTAAAAATCGTGCATCTAATTCATACACATACGATGAATATCCACGAGTTGTTTTTGATGATGAAATCGGTGAAGGATCTAATAGTCGTCGTGAATGATACTTTAAATAAACGTAATTTGCGTTTGCTATGATTGATTTGGTAGTATAAGATTTGTAATATTGATGTGCATAAAAAATTGTGTAACAGCGTTTTTTATAATAGAATTCAAAATGAATTTGACTTAATGCCAAATTTCACTACTACATATTGAATCCTAACCCTATCGCGTATCATAATTCCAAATTTCGCGTAATAAATGTCTGGTAGAGGAAGTAGAGGTGGTAGAGGTATCAGACGTCGTGGCTTCGGTACAAGAGGTGGCCCCCCAGATCTCGGACGCAGCTTCACAAATGAACTACGAGCAGCTTTGCAAAAGAATCTCACTGACGATAGTTCTAAAGTATTTTTTTTTTTTTAGATGCTTATAAACTATTTGTGCTATCATAACTTACGTGAACTAATTAAAATAATGTTATAGGGACTTGAATTTGAAGATCCGGTAGGGCCGACTGATAACGAACAGTTGACTCTTTATGCGTTAATTGGCTACAAAGCAGCTCTCAAAGACTCTGCTTTCTATATATCTGCGCCACCACCACCTACTGGTACAATGTTGTCTTTGGCCACCTTACATCATTATCGTTTTATGCTAAAATAAGAGTAATGAATTGGTGTAAATATTATGAACTCTCAGAAATACAAAGATATTCAGATCAATTCAAAAAGAAAAAAACACCACATTCTCTGCGAGACATTAAAACAGGTTAATCTGATATGATTCCTGCATAAACTGATCATCATCACATCTATTAACAAACTTTTATTATAATTAGACATAGGTTTCTTTCCGGAAGAACTTCATTGTGTTAAAGATGAATCGCTAGCATCAACAATTTCAACAAACATAGGTTTAAGTTACTAATATTGATGTGCTTGCGTGTACGCTTAATGAAATTGTACTAAAAACTTATTTAACATTTAGGCAGCCAAAAAAAGGCTACTTTTGATCTGGATCAAACATTTGGCGATCTTTTAGCGCAAGAAGACAAAGAACAGACAAAAAAACAAGATGTTGGTTTCTTTTTCTGTTGTATTTACCACTGTATATTTTAAAATATTGATAATTTGGTTCTTAGACTGTTGTAGAGAATGAATTCGAAAAATATGCGGACATGGATCAGTTCCTTCAAGAAGAGGATGAACTAGCGGATGCAACTGATTACGTAGAAAATTACTTTGATAATGGTGAAGGGGATGACCTAGATGACGATGGAGGTATTATTATGATATTATTCCTATGATATTTTATTTTC